TTTCATCTTCATTAGATGAAGATGCATCTGACTGAAGCCTCATGTTTTTGTGCAACCTCGTGACCCGGAAATTCACACCACAATGGTGATGAATTGATCGTAGCATGTACGATGTCTTGCCTCGATGCTTTAAGTACAACAGGTAATATCTGTCTAAAGTCACCACCAAGTACGACAACCTTACCACCAAAAGGTTTTTCATAATTCAAAATCGATCGCATGGTTCTGTCTAGTACTTCACCCGTGCGATGCACGGGGATCAGCTCGAAGATCAAAATGAATTGATTTAAACAATCAACGAACTAAAAGATACTAATATTAATACTAATACTAATACTAATACTAACCAAGGTTGTAAAAATCGGTGATCGGGTCCGAGTCGGTCAGGCACCGACTCACGATTAATCGGTGCGGCGGTGATTAATCGGTGATAAATCGGAAATAAATCGGTTTTTAAAATTTAATATAATATATTTCTAAATATTATTTATAAATACTCCAAACATATGTAAAAAAATATTTAAACATAGTTATATCTCCATCATGTATATATCCTAATAACATAATAAAAGTTTAATAATCATAAGATCATAATACATAAATATCCTTATAAAATATAAATAAAAAAACAATTTTTTTGAATTTACATTTATTCTTGAACATTCGTGGCATACATCATTAGTTCTTTAACAATAACAATTAACATAAACAAAATAAGGCATAAACTCATATTTTCTTTTATTAAAATCCAACTTTTATATTGAATTATAAAATAAAATAAATAAAAAAATAAATAAATAAAAAAATGATTTTTAACCGATTTTTAACCTATTTTTGACAGATTTTTTGCCACCGAGTTTGACCCGCCTTAGAGGTTTGACCGCCTCAGACCGCCTCGGACCGACTAAAACCGCCTCACAGGCAAAAAACCAATTTTTCAAACCTTTACACTAAAATCGTAAAGGTTTTGGACCGCCTCCGCCTCGGAGACCGATTAATCGGCCGCCTCGGCCGATTTTTAGAACACTGATACTAACACTAATGCTCATATTAATACTAATACTAATATTAATACTAATATTAATACTAATACTAATATTAATACTAATACTAATACTAAAACTAAATTAATAATCATACGAATACTTATACTAATACTAATACTAATATTCACACTAATACTAACACTAATATGAAGACTAATACCAATATTCATACTAATACTAATATCAATAGTAATACTAATGCAAATATTAATAGTAATACAAATACTATTACTAATACCAATTCTAATACAAATACTAATATCAATACTAATACTAATTCTAATACAAATACTAATTATAATACTAATACGAATACTAATACTAATATTAATAATAATACTAATACTAATGATATTACTAATACAGTAATACTAATACGCTAATACTAATGATAGTGTTAATACGAATACACTAATACTAATGTTAGTGCTAATGTTGAGGCTTAATTATTCAATCCACGAACTGTCTTTTATGTCTTTTATGAAGTTGATACATAGTGGTTTTTAATTTACCTGCAGTTTTTGACTAATTGATTTAAATCAAAACAAAGTGAATACTAATTACTTACTTTTAGACGATGATTTTTGAACCATCATGTCGCGCGATTACAGTGAACGGTGCCAACAAAACAAAGATTGGTGCTTTTTTCCTCTCAATACTATATTGTTGCTATTTGTATCTTCATCCTATCAACAACGACTGATCTCCATTGTTGGGCAATCTAGGTGTGTGGGTAGGTAGCTGGGATTTCGTGGGTGGAGCATGAGCGAAATTCGTGGGCAAAATTTTTGAAGGAGATTCCGGTGTAATTAAAATGGGGGAGATTTGAATATATCTTAATTTTTTTTTTATTGTTTTTCGGCATAGTGAATTGGGGCTTTTTTGTATTTTGGGTGGATTAGGTTTATATCAAATATCAATTAAAAAATGAATTTATGATGAAATCAAAATTCAATAGAGGGTTTTGTCAAATAGCTCCTATATAATTATCGGAAATGCTATTCGCGGTTGCGTTTTTGCTATTCGCGGTTCATAAAAAAAACCCTCTCTCTCTCTAAACTTCCAAAACCCAAAAACCGCAAATAGCAAAAAAAAAAAAATCAAAAAAGAAGAAATCAAGCTCGAATAGCCATTGGGTTTCGATTTTTTGAGGTAATTTCGACTAATTCCCGTATAATATGCATTGCCCATGTCGTTTATGCAACCAATTTCATGTTTAAAGCCCCTAAAAATCGAATTGTAGGGGCTTTTTTATTTTCGGAAGTAACGAACTGCACGCCCAAGTTGGGTATTTAAAGGAGTAGTTCTTCCG